ATACAATAGCACGCCGTATGGACGACGAAACAGAAACAAGCAGTAACCCCCAAGTTAGTACATAATAAGCCACCTAAGAGTCCTTATTTGGGCATAAGGGATATGACCACTGGCAATACTTAGTATTTAATTTAGGATTTTCACAAATACTTTTGTTTTAAATACACAAATGACATGTTTAGTGTCGAATCTTCCTGTGATGCCAGCTGTAACAGAATCGACCAAATCATAAGAACATAAGTACAAAAACAATCACCGAAGCGATCAAATTCCTGTAGTTAAGCTCCCATAATCCCGGTAGTCCGGAAATCACGAAGGATTTCAACCAACTCTCGACATACAAACCAAGATCGTAGTGATTCAACACAACACATCATCCGTTACAACATTTCATAAGTAGCATTCGGATTACATCCATCAGAGTTCAAATAAAATATTACAAACCAAGTTTAAATGCGCGGAAGCAACATAGTTTAGTACATAACTTCATAGTTTCAAATACATTGCCAGATCAGAGTCATGTCCCAGAAAAGCATTATCAGGTACGAGAACTAGTAAAGACCGCGCCCAACGGCCTAGTCTTCATCCCCAGCTGGGAGAAGGCAGTACTTGCAGCAACCAAAGAAGAACTGGTCATCTGCAACAGGTGGGAGATAAACCCTGAGTACGAGAAGGTACTCAGCTAGACTTACCCGTCAAAACCAGAAATAAAAGACACCGAGGATCATGCAAGGCTTTTCAGGTGGGCTAGCTTGACACAGTTGCATAAAAGAGCTTATGAGTATAGTAACCAATTTAAACTTATTATCAAGCTTATCATTATTTACCTGTCCACTAAATTAGCACCTGTACTAGAGCACTCACTTATTAGGAGCAAACAATATTAACCATAGCAGGTATAATAAGACTGTCATCATCATATCATCATTTCCAAACCATTAAGTTATTAAGTGTATCTACATTGGAGATAAGCCCGTCAAGTTCTCACTAACCGGGAGAGACGGCGATTCGAATCGAATTACAACTCAGCTGAGGGGGTATTCCTAACTCTCACCCAGCATACTTAGCAAGGGTAGCCGTGGGTCACCTTTGGAACATCTCAGAACCAAATTGTGGGTTCGATCAAGCGCCAGACTCTCGGGGATTACCCTTCCCGCCAGATTTATCGGGACTTTTAAATCACCTGCCCTTGGACTCACGCCTCGGCTCCTTCCGAGGCGCACTTTATACTTATCGACTCCCGGCTGAGGTGAGCTACTCGGCTTCAGCGGTCGGTCATCGGACACGACCAACTAAGAGAGAGGCATCGTTCAACATGAACAGGAAAGGCTCCAAGAATCAGTCCTGTAAAAGCGACACGAGGGAGTCACCGCAAACCAACAAGCCTCCATCCGGTCTTCATTTCAAATTAAGATCGGTTCTTTTCCACGATAGCAAATATAGCCAACCGTGCCACATGTATCTTCCTATATCTCGCAGTGACAGAAATCACCCGACTTCTACCGCGTTTAAGCAGTGGCTAAGCACTACTCGAGCCTGAAATGCATAGGATTCAGGGTAACAATATCTGGACAAGGATTGGGTAACTAATGCAAAGAATGGTTTGCATCCAACACCTAAACTTAATGCAACAATATATATATGTAACAATAATATCAGATCTCGCATTTTTCGGAAATTAGGAGGCTTAAAATGCTCCGGGCTTGCCTTTCACAAAGTTGCAAGGACGGTGGTCCGGCACTCAACGGCGACCTCGTCCAGCACTTCTCTGAAAGCTGCTCCTCCACGAATCTCCGGTAATAAATTGCTTCTTTTCCGCTTCGGTTCCTCGAATTCCAGCAGGGTTACTCCTTCCGGTACACCTATTGCATGCCGATGCAAAAGATAAATATCATGGATGCATAAGGAATGACATGATGCTCATGATGAATGAATCACATTAGTGTTTACGAAAGCATCACTGGACACTCGTTTACCGAGTAATTAGCTCTATTCAAATCACTTTAAGCATGTATCCACTTAACTTAAAGAACAAGATCAACTTACCTAACTTGCATAACCTAAGATAAAGATGCTCATCTTCAGTTAAAGGCCTAACACCTAGGAACATTACCACAAACTTAGAAATAGTAAAGGCATACATAATTCAACATTTAAAGTTTCATATGCACACAAATAGTCCCTTAATCAATCACAACCAGAGTTCTACAAATCCAAATGACTTGCAAGATGACATTCTGGAAAGCTTATGAAATTCTCTACAATTCATTTGTAAACATCAAAGTATGATTCTTAAGTTAACCAAATCAAATTCCAGTAAACCTAGAATCTGTCCAGAAATGACAGGGTTACTAACTTAATTAATTAATGATTGTGCAAAAGCATAATTTGATCAATCCAAGTTTACCAACTTGTTTTTCATACCTAAGAAACATCAGAAAGTATAGTGCCAACTTCTAAATAATTTATTTAATATCCTTTTCCAATTTATTTAGTTAATTAGGTGATTTAAGCAATATATAGTAAAACTATTCATAAAAATCTACAAAAATTACAGTAGCTATCTCATGCTGCACATAGACTACCATAAAAATTTCAAAGCCATTGGGCAAGTAAAACTTGTTGTATCTGAAATAACAGATGACATGTCTATTTCTAGCATAATTAGGAAACCTTATTAAAAAGTGTCAAACAACAGATTTCCCATTTTTCCTAGCATCATTCTAGCATAAGAATAGCACTCATCAAATTTTACCTTCACTGGATCTATAGAAAAATTATGAAAATTCACACAAGATCCACCCATTAATAAAAGGAAATTCTATAACTTAAAAACTACACATGCACTAGCTCTAAAATTTTAACCAGAGCTTCTAATAAGCAATAATAGACTACTCACAAAATTTCATAATTTTTGGACTACAGAAACTCAAGATAAAATTCAAACAAGTTTGCATGCATCTAAAAACACATTTCAAAGTCCTATTTAATTCATCAAAAATTTCTAAAACATGTGCTCATATAATATTTTTGTTAAATACTAGACATGACCAGGAGCTTAACAAAATTGGAACCATAGCATTTGGATCTATATACTAGGAAATACAGATTTTTGAATATCAATACAAATCTGTGAAATAATAAAACAAAACAAAATAAGGAAACAAAACTCAGCCACAGTTGGGCCGGCCCGAAGGAACAGCGGCCCGCGAACAACGCTGGCGTGGCCCAAGACACGGCGCGGCCCACGCTGGGCTCCCGCCTCAGCCTCGGCGGCTGACAGCCGGGTCCCGCGAGACAGGCAGGGGAGGAGAAGGAGACGGCGGCGAAGCTCGTCGCCGGTGACTTCTCCGGCAAAAGCAACAGTGCCAACAGTTTCGCCTCACCCCAGCGGACCTAGGGGAACCATCGATTGCAGCTAAGGACGCAGCTAGAGGGGGTGGCGATGGCCACGGCGGTGCTCGGCCACGGCACGGCCGGCTCCGACGACGCGACGGCATCGCAGCCCTAACGGGTGGCTCGAGGAGCTTTGGTGGTGTTCCTAGGACCTAGCGCGAGCCAGAGGAGGGGATGGGAATGGCGCGAGGAGAGCTGGCCACGCGGAGTGCTAACTCCGGCGAGGTCCGACAAGGCGGTGGTGGTGGGGAAAAACCGGCGATTGGCCCTTACCGATGTACGATTGACTCGCTAGCACGGTGAAAAAGGGAGAGGGGATCACGGCGGGGCTCTGGGTGAGCTGGGCAACGCGTTTTTGCCAAGACGCGGGGGCTAGGCGAGAGCGAAGTTCCGGCGGCAATGGCGGGCGGCTCGGTGCTGTGCTGTGGGAGGCGAAGAATGCAAACAGGGGCGTGCGAGTGCGTCGGGCAGGCGCGGGGTGGCTTCAAGACGCGGCTGGCCGTGCCAGGGCGCCCACGGCGCGTGGCCTGCGCGCTCAGGCGATCGGTGATGGGTGGTGCCACGCGTCGAAGGTTTTCTGAAACGGTCGGCCATGTTCACTGAATGTTTTCTGAAAACGCGATTTAGAGCTCCACGACGGTGACTGACCGAGCGAGTTTGACGATGATTATCTCCTAAACCGTGATGATCTGGGTTAAGTTGTAGTTAACAAAGTTGGAGACCTACGTGATTACTACAAATTTGTTAATTAGAGCTCGAGCTAGTTTGGCTTGGTTAGGGAGATACAAGGTGACAAAGCTGGGTACATGAAACTGCAACACACATAAGGACTTAGAAAAATTTCTAAGTCTAAATCAGCATGTACTTCTGACTTGTGGGCCATGTTTGACCATGTTCCACACATTTTCATGGGTTGGTCATAAAACAACTTTTGTTCCTTGATAAATTAGCTACAACTTTTGTAAAGAGTGCACAGCCATGCAAAGTCTCTAAGTTGGACTTTTGAATCAGTCAAACAGTGGCACTCTAGGGTTCACTTCAAGTCAAACCTCCATTCAAGGGCAATCTTGTCATTTTGACCTACATGAACAATGTTCCAACAAGTAACCTAAGTGTAGTTAAGGCGTAATAGACCATGATCAACCACTTTACCAAATTGTTATACCACTTCTAATGCTCATATGTGATACAGAAATTAAAACAAGCAATTCATACATATGTTTCAATACAATGTTTCACATGTTGCATGACCTTGTTGTTATCCTATACTTGTCACATTACTACCATATTGCCATGTTTCCAAGTATGAGAGTTTCATGTTACATTCACATGTTTCACTACTACCACTCTTTGCAATCAAGCATGAAACACATATAATTTAAAATGTTGCATATGTATGTTTCAATGATAATGACATGATGACGTAGATAATGCACATGTTTATGAAATGACATGCAATTTAGTGGAAGCCTAAACACCTAGGGTGTTACAGCGGCGGCACGGGGGAAGAACATGTCGGTGGCGGCGGGGGGTGACGAAATGAGCGAGGGGATAGAGAGGGCGGGATCGGGGCGGCGTAATGAAGAAAATGGACAGGGGCAGCGATGACATTTTACCTGCGCCTGCTGACTAGGCGCCAGCGTGTTGGGCTGGCGTGGCTTGCCACATGCGCAAATGTGGTAAATGAAGAACTCAAACTTCTCTCATCTGGCAAAGTTGTAAGTGCCATCATAAGAGTGATAATCGGATGAGCGCCAATCTTAATAATGGTAAAAATGTAAATCCCCCCTGCACAACTGATGCACGGCTTCTAAACACCCCAAGTCGCCGTCGCCTACCCTACTTTCCTCCTCGCCGGCCGTCTACCCGCTCGTTTCAAGCAACCGCCGGCAAAATGGTATGCTTGGTTCCTCTCATACGCTTGTTGTGACCTTGTCAGTGTTACCAACAATTGAATGTTTCCTGATTTTTTTATTTAAAAAATGAGCTAGAGTTGGCATGGGTCTTTGTGCGAACTGCGTTAGGTTTGGCTGTTGTTTGCTTTAGCAATCCTGTGATTATGATGTGTGAACGGTAAATTTTGTAGGCCCCCGTCAAGGCACCGGTTCCAGCGTAGAAGAAGCCAGTATGCTACGGATTCTTGGAATCTCTTACCAAGCCTACTTGTTTTTGTTTGTTTGGTTCGTTCTTGGTTTGATCTGGTGCGTGGGGCTTTTGTTTGGTATGTGAAGGAGAAAGTGACCAACCAGCTGTTCGAGAAAAGGCCAAAGAAGTTTGGGATCGGGGGCGCGCTGCCGCCCAAGAAGGACCTCCACCGCTTCGTGAAGTGGCCCAAGGTCGTGCGCATCTAGCGCCAGCGCCGCATCCTCAAGCAACGGCTCAAGGTTCCCCCAGCACTCAACCAGTTCACTCGTACCCTTGACAAGAACCTTGGTATATGTCTCCTCCATTCATAGCCTCTCAATCAAGCTATTATAGCTAGAATTTGCGATGGTTGTCAGTCAAGTCACATTGTCAATTTAGCTACTTGCTAATTTTAGGGACTAATTGCCAATAGGGGACCAATGGATGTGATAGGTTTGATTGTTTGGGTGGCACCAAGTTCTACCAATGGTGTAGGGAGCAGTTGTAGAAGAAAAAGCTGACAGTAGTGCGAAATTCTTAGTTGCAGACCTAACTGGACCATAAATCTCAAATAAATACAAATTATATTATATGGTTCTTGGCTGAAAGATCTAGTATGCTAAAATGGTTTCATTTTGTTGTACACAAGTTCCATTTAGCTCATGCTTACCTGGTTGCTACTCCCTTCAGTCATAATTAGCTGATGTTTTGTACAGCAAAATATAATTACAAGTCAAATTAGCTGTCAAAACATCATCTGATTATGACTGGACGTAGGTGTCATGCACCTAATACGATCGGTTTAGGCATCGACGTGAAGGGCTCAAGGGCAGTAGCAGATGTTGGCTCATTCATGTTCAAGAGGATATGAATTGGGCCATGTTAAACAACAACAATAACAACAACAACAAAGTCTTTAAGTCACAAACAAGTTGAAGTAGGCTAGAGTTGAAACCCAGCAGAAGCAATCAAGATTCAGGCACGTGAATAGTTGTTTTCTAAGCACTCCTATCTAAGGCTAAGTCTTTGGGTATATTACATCCTTTCAAATCTCCTTTTATTGCCTCTACCCAAGTCAACTTCGGTCTTTCTCTACCTCTCTTCACGTTACTATCCTAGCTGAGGATTCCACTACGCACCGGTGCCTCTGGAGGTCTCCATTGGACATATCCAAACTATCTTAACTAGTGTTGGACAAGCTTTTCTTCAATTGGTGCTACCCCTAATCTATCACGTATATCATCGTTTCGAACTCGATCCCTTGTTGTATGACCATAAATCCAACGCAACATATGCATTTCCACGACACTTATCTATTGAACATGTCGTCTTTTCGTAGGCCAACATTCTGCACCATACAACATAGCAGGTCTAATCGCCGTCCTATAAAACTTGCCTTTTAGCTTCTGTGGTACCCTTTTGTCACATAGGACACCAGATGCTTGGCGCCACTTCATCCACCCTACTTTGATTCTATGTCTAACATCTTCATCATATATCCCCGTCTCTCTGTAGCATTGATCCTAAATATCAAAAGGTATCATTCATAGGCACTACTTGACCTTCCAAACTAATATCTTCCTCCTCCCGACTAGTAGTGCCGAAGTCATATCTCATATACTCAGTTTTAGTTCTATTGAGTCTAAAACCTTTGGACTCCAAAGTCTCCCGCCATAACTCTAGTTTCTGATTCACTCATGTCCGGCTTTCATCAACTAGCACTACATCGTCCGTGAAAAGCATACACCAAGGAATGTCCCCTTGTATGTCCCTTGTGACCTCATCCATCATAAGGGCTCAAAGCTGACCCTTGATGTAGTCCTATCCTAATCGGGAAGTCATCTGTGTCTCCATCACTTGTTTGAACACTAGTCACAACATTGTTGTAGATGTCCTTAATGAGCCCGACGTACTTCGTTGGGACTTTATGTTTGTCCAAAGCCCACCACATAACATTCATTGGTATTTTATCATAAGCCTTCTTCAAGTCAATAAAAACCATGTGTAGGTCCTTCTTCTCCCTATACCGCTCCATAACTTGTCTTATTAAAAAAATGGCTTCCATGGTTGACCTTCCGGGCATGAAACCAAATTGGTTCATAGAGATCCGCGTTATTGCTCTCAAGCGATGCTCGATAACTCTCTCACATAGCTTCATAGTATGGCTCATCAACATAATTCTTCGGTAATTAGTACAGCTTTGAATATCCTCTTTATTCTTGTAGATCGGTACCAATGTACTTCTCCTCCACTCGTCAGGCATCTTGTTCGATCGAAAAATATGGTTGAACAGCTTGGTTAGCCATACTATAGCTATGTCCCCGAGGCATCTTCACACCTCGATTGGGATACCATCCGGTCCCATCGTCTTACCTTCTTTCATCCTTTTCAACGCCTCTTTGACCTCAGATTCTTGGATTCTCCACACAAAGCGCCTATTGGTGTCATCAAAAGAGTCATCCAACTAAAAGGTTGTGTCCATATTCTCACCATTGAATAATTTATCAAAATACTGTTGCCATCGATGTCGGATCTCATCCTCCTTCACCAAGAGATGCTCCCTTTCATCCTTAATGCACTTAACTTGGTTGAAGTGCCTTATCTTTCTCTCACGAACCCTAGTCATCCTATAAATGTCCTTCTTTCCTTCCTTCATACTCAAATGTTGGTAAAGATCCTCGTACGCTCTACCCTTTGCCACGCTTACATCTCGCTTTGCAGTCTTCTTTGCCACCTTGTACTTTTCTATGTTGTCCACATTTCTGTCATGGTACAAGCGTCTATAGCATTCTTTCTTCTCCTTAATAGCCCTTTGGACTTTCTCATTCCACCACCAAGTATCTTTAGCCTCGCCTCCACTTCCTTTGGTTACTCCACACACCTCTGAGGCCACCTTCCGAATTCTTTCGGGTTTCATCTCCATTAGAATGGCTAGATTTAACGTTGGCTCGCCACACCTATCACAACCCTCCTCCTTTACCAGAGCTTGGGACCTTTTATGTTGAGACAACATAGGCGGAGTTAATTGAGCCATGTTAACACTAGTCTGTAATCCTTTTCCTTTGTTAAAGTGTGCATATGCTTGATCTTGTTTTCAGCAACAAACTTGTTCAAGATGCTTCTTAAGTACCCCCCTGAAGACAAAGCTGCCAAGGAGAGGCTTTTGAAGAGAGCCCAGGCTAGAGCTGAAGGGAAAACTGTTGAAGCAAAGAAGCAAATAGTTGTGAAGTATGGCCTTAACCATGTGACTTACCTCATTGAGCAGGTAGGTGTATCCGCATCGATTTTTTTGTATTTTACGTCACTTAATGATAGCAGACAGTTGTCTTTAGTAATGTTGTTACATTGTATAATTCAAATTGGTGCTTCCTTTTTCTTGCAGAACAAGGCCCAACTTGTTGTCATTGCTCATGATGTTGATCCGATCGAGCTGGTTGTGTGGCTTCCAGCCCTTTGCAGGAATGGAGGTTCCATACTGCATCGTCAAGGGAAAAGCACGCCTTGGATCGGTATTATTTTGTTTTACATTCTCTATTTTCTTGTTTATGTTAAAATGCTGATAAAGATTACAACATTACAAATAATTGGCTTCAGGTTGTTCACAAGAAGACCGCATCTGTTCTATGCCTAACCACTGTAAAAACGAGGACAAACTTGAGTTCAGCAAGGTTCTTGAGGCTATTAAGGTGCTATCTTGTCTATTTCTTAGTATCCAGCTAAGTGCCATTGATTTGCCCACTGATGCAAAAGTGATTGTTTCCTAGGCAAACTTCAATGACAAGTTTGATGAGGTCAGGAAGAAGTGGGGTGGTGGTGTGATGGGATCCAAATCACAAGCGAAAACCTAGGCCAGGGAGAAGCTGCTTGCCAAGGAGGCTGCACAACGGATGACCTAAATCTATCAGGGTTACATTTATCCTGTATTTTAACTGAGTAATGTCCACACAAACAAACGAACCCTGTAGGAATTCAATTTTTTGCTTGCCAGTTCGGGCATGCGACTCAACTTCTCAATGGGTCAAGCTCGATCTCTAACTGTGCGTTCGATTTTATGGTCAGAAAAAGCATATTACATTACATGTTCTGCCTTCGATGTGCCCTACTTATTTGCCCTTTTTAGAACCAAGTACGTTTTAGATTTAGATTCTCTTCAGAGATGTTTCTCTGATGAATTAGAATCACTTCGTTGAACCATTTGCTCACTCCCTGGATTCTTAAAACTAGAATCAGGATGAATCAGAAACTGTTTGTTGAATTTTTACAACTAAAACTAGAATTGAGAAACTAGATTTTGGGTGTTTCTCTAGATGAATTGGTTTCAAGTAATTGGACAAATCGGGTTTTAGGTGTTTCTTTTGACTAGCACAAAAACGAGAACTGGTTTCAACTCAGATTTGACTGGTACAAAAATGAGAACTGGTTTCAACTCAGATTAGGAGAAACTGGGTTTTTGATGTTTCTCTGGACTAGTACAAAAACTAATCAGTTTCAAGTGATTGGAGAAACCAAGTTTTCGGTGTTTCTCTTACTAGTACAAAACAAGAATTGAATTTGATTGATTCTCTCTAAAACATTTTACTTTGTGGTCTTTGACAACAATTCTAGTGATTCTAGAATCTAGAACGTTTCTGGTTGCCAAACACGCTTTGAATGCAAATGTTATATTCACTTATGTGTTTGGTTTGGAGGATGCAGTGGGATAAGATGGATCAGATCCTATTTTCAACAGTGTTTGGTTCGAAAACTAAACAAGGACATTGTCATCCTAGGAATATTCCACAAAAATAAGGTTGCCCCATCCTTGAAAAAATGAGGGAACAGGAGCGTCCCCTTCTTCATGCGCGTGACAGTCAGAGCGCGCAAGGGGCGAGCACCGCCAAGCAAACTGCCTCAAGCGTCCTGTTCATTTGGGCTTGTTTGGCCCAAACGAAGGATGGCGCTGACGAGCACAACTGTAGGAGGGCGAGCTGCAACAGCGGCGCATGCAAGGTGGGGTGCAACGGCGGCTGCACGATGCACACAGGGCGAGCTGGTATGGCGGCAGCGCAAAGGGGCGAGCGCCGGTGGTCGCGCGACGCACAGGCGGGTAGGCCGGCGGAGTAGTGTGCTTGGGCGTTGGCAGGCTTGGGAATGGAGGGCAAATAGGAGGATGACGAACAGGTCCTTTATGTCAGATGACTCAATCCAGATTTTGATGTCCTCAAACCAAACACGAAAACCATCCCCTGAAACCAAACACAGATCTTGTCCTAAAAACAGAGATAGAATCATTTCCTCATTATGTCCAAACACGCTAAGAGTAACCACAATGCATATAGTAAGTAGTCCATATACACAGGACCCATGTGAATAGTTCTTTATTCTAATGCCTATGAACTGTTTTTGAACAACATTGTGGTTGCTCTAATAGGAAGAAGGAATGAAATGATTGCCCATCATGATAATGATAACTTAAATAGTTCGACGGAATGAAATGATTGACCATCATGATAACTTAAATAGTTCAGAAGCATTTACATGATTACATCAGTTGCGATAGTACAGGTACAAGTTCGCTACAAACATGAAACTTGAAAATACATTAGCTCATGCAGTTACCCTCCGTGCTTAACAATACACCAACCATTCCCCCAGCATTATGTGCCGCTCCTGGCAGAACATGGACACAAGGGCCACCTCGGGTTTCAGCATTAGATTTTTCGGGCTGGCAACTTTTCAATAAGATGGTCAGGTTCTAAAACTTAAATGCGGGATATGCAGATTGCCCTTTGGCAGCGTACGGCAGCCCAACATTAAAAACGAGATTTCCATGCATCCCTCTCCTACGGCCCACTCCCAAATAAGGAACCAAATCCTGAATGTCGTCGAGCATGCTCTGGTAACAACCTGCTGATAAGCTCCGGTGGTGCGTTTGCTAGCTGCAAAGGAACACAAGAAATTCGATTTTATAGCTCAGTGACCTATGCAGTTTAAAGGAAAGTATCAGTCCAGATTATAAGGATGCAAGACGCAAGTTTAACTGCCTTCAACTTGGTCCCCACCATAATCCAACCCCAGCCGCCTTCGCTTCGTGCAACTAACTAAGAGCATCTTCCCCAATAGTGCTGCAAGAAGCAAAGGTGGCTGGGGTTGGTCATACTGGGGAGATGAGGCTATTTCCTTGTTCCAACAGTCCCTACTCCTTACCCACGTTAATCCAACCCCAGCCACATTCACTTCCTACAACTTATCTACGAGCATTTCCTATGGTTCCCCAATAGCATTCCCCAAGTCCTCATCCTCATAAAGCTATCATATTAGGGAGATGAGGCTATGTCCTTGTTCCAGCAGTCCCCCATTAGTCCTTTTTATGACCACCAAAAAACTTCCCATTTGCCTTCAAATAAAGAGGGAGTTGCACATTGCCCCTAATAGCCTAAGGCCCACATCAATTGCCACTTCTTCCCATTACGGACCCTCAGACCTTAGGCCACAGGCCCGCATCTTAGCCACCGCCCACACTAGAACTCATGCGCCGTCTATGGCCGCAGCTCAGTATCACCTATGGGCTGCCTTGTTCACAGCTGCCACCATGGCCGCTGCCAGATGCCTGCGACCCCAGCACCGAGCCATTGGCCCTAAGCCTCTTCCTGTACATGCCTACAGCGAATCGAGGATGAGCGAGTTGGGCGCACGATGGGGATAGATAGATAGAGAGAGAGAGAGAGAAGGGGAAGAGGAGGGAGGCGACTATGGCCGTCGTAGATCAGACCTTGGCAGTGTCAATTTAAGCACCAGGATGTCATGGCCTCGTCGAATAAGTGCCGCCATGGACTGTTCGAGCATGGTTCGAGGCTCGGCTCGGATCTTCACAGGAAGGGGATGGCGGTAAAGGCCAAGGGGATGGGCGGACCAAAGGGCGCTGGCAATGTGAACTGAGGGGCAGGCATGGCTGGCAGGGATAGCAGTAGGCATGGTTGGCGTATAGCGAACAACATAGAGAGACAGGCAGAGAAGAGCAGGGGAGGTGGGAGGAGAAAAGAATACAATTAGGCACTGACCAAAAGCATACCCCCCAATAATCCTACAAGTGGTATTGAGGCAGCCCCATTAGCAATTTATCACGGGAGATGTATTGGAGGACTGCTGGAGATGCTCTAATGTCCTTCCAACCACTATCAGTCACAGCCCAACACCCTCAGAAAAGCCAAAGCTCCTCTTTTCAGATAGTCATGTTGCCAACAACCCAACTCTCATCCACCTTGTGGCCTCGATATCACCCACCCTACCGTTCACCTGAACTGTACAATTCAGGCTCCTACTACGCAAAACCATGATGCTGCCGCCAGGCCTGAAGAATTGCACTACTCTGGTGGCAGTGTGTTCCTTAAGACGTGCTATCTAGAAAGGAAGCAGCGCTCACATATAATCAACCATGTTGTTGCAAAAAAAAGCAGGCCACTATGCATGACTGGTAACATCGAACATTGCAAGTCATGTTGATTTTACCACTAATGCCTATCATGTATTCACGTCAGTAAAATGCTACCAAAATGGAGTATACAATGAATGTACTAACAGCATTTCCCTGTGGTCAGTTAACATTTTTTTTTTCATATATGTAGTCAAGCACTCAAAAGGATTAATATTTAGGGACACAATGAGAAACAAGATTGTCTTGAAATCACTTACTTCCTGCTTAAAGTTGAATAGTGGAGGAAATGGGCGTCCGTTTGGGAGTCTTGCATGTGGTTCTCGTAACTCGTCAAAGAATGAATGAGCACACGCCTCAAGCTGGAACAGTAATTCAACCAGCAATGAACTCAACTCAGCAAAAAGAGAGGTTCCATTACTGTACATGTATATTCATCATATATGCACATATGACTAAAACTTTATGCATTTACCTTAAGACACAAAGGCAACATAGGTTTGCAGAATGGCAGGGCACAGGTGCTACGTTAGCAGTAGCACACTGATTACAATTTGTGGATGATGGATTTCTTATCATCACTTTATTATGTTGATTTTTTTTTCTCAAATGACACAGGAGAGCTGCATGTCATTTCATTAAGAAAAGAGAAATAAAGGAGAAGCAAAGCCTGCTCCTACCAGCCCAACACAGTTATTATTATTGTTATGTTGATTTGGTGCAAATTTTAGTTTCCAATACCAAGCATAAGCAACAAATGATGTATTAATTTAGGCTTCCACAAATTATATTATTTTAAGTTCAAAGTTCTGGTGTAGTTTGTTTTTCCAGTGGTTTTGGTAACACTCTACTAGTAGAACAAAATATAAAGTCATGAGAGCTTCAGGTTGAATGTTTCTTCCATTTACTATCATGAATTTGTATGAGAAACAGAAGATGAAATCAGTGTCCAATTATGCATGATTCAAACAATCAACTCTAAGTTTGGAAGATTTAAGCATAACTTTCTATGTTAACAATATGATGTCCACTAACATATAGTCCCCCTGGGATGCTGATGTCAATTCATTTTAGAGGACTTGGGATATGAGGATGAGACAACCAGAGATGAAAAAACTTACTGCACTACATCGCAGATTCGGCGAATACTGAAGAAGACGGGAAACAAGATCTATTGCTTCTGGAGGCATTCTCTTGTGGAAGATCTGCAGCATAACCATTGTGATAAGGACTCATCACCATCAGGAACATCAAGAATGAGGGAGATCATATTGTACACATGATAATAACATAAACGTTAGGATTTGCCATCTATTACAACTAGATATCCAACGCACAAAACTGAGTGGGGCTGACATTCCACTTTAATGAGTGGCAGTATGGTCTTATATGGTCAAAAGAACTCTATTGAAATCTAGAAATGGCAACGATACTGAGAAATTTGCCTGTAGGTCTAGTTTAGTAGGAAAAAAAAAAAAGGCAAAACACCACTGAGATTGTGAGCTCCACCAGAGTGACCATATCAACAGATTTTATTTGGAGGAATTTCCACTGACTATAAATGTGCACACACCTTGTGCCATGGACATGCTTTTATCTGAGGAAACTTGAATTCTGTATAATTGGGATTCATACAACGAATTTCCTCTCGAGTTGGGGTGCCCAAAACCTGCAAGGAGTTCATCTTTGTTCAATTCTGGAAAGTAGCAAAGTCAATCGCAAATATCTTCTTTACAATAGTCAATTTTTAATGCATGCAAACTCATTAATTACCTTGATAATCTCAACAAGCTGGTCCACAGCATTTTCACCAGGAAATAAAGGCTAATAAATTGCAAGAAAGAAAAACAAGTCATTTAGTTTAACTTTACTGCTGAAATGGCATCACAATGGCATAAAAGATGTAGAGAGATGCAAGCCAAAAAAAAGAGGGTAACTAAACCACTTACTTGACCAAGAAGGAGCTCAGCAAGAACACATCCAGCTGACCATATATCAATAGATGTTGTGTATTCAGTTGCACCAAATATGAGCTCAGGAGCACGATAATAACGTGAGCATATATATGATATATTAGCTTCACCTTTAATCTGATATGTTAGGCATATTTCAAAGATAAGGTTCAAGGTTCTGAACAAAAAGAAATCAGAGAAGTACTGGGATGCAAAATGTTTGGAGAGTAGTACTCCCTCCGTCCCCAAATAAATGCACACCTTGCTTCTCGAGGAGTCAATCCTTTTTTAAAATTTGATTAGGTGTATAGGAAATAGTATCAATGTTTGAATCTCAAAATAAGTTTATTATGAAAGTATATTCCATGACCAATCTAATAATACTTGTTATGCATCATAAATATTAGTATCTTCTCGTATAATATTTAGTCAAACTTGAAAAAGTTTGACTTCTCAATAAGCGAGATGTGCACTTATTTTGGGATAAGTACTAAAAGTTGGATTTAGCATTTTATCTAGAACAAAGTTTATCAATGGAAGGATAGAAAAAGGGTTTTTCATAGTAACCTTGCACAGAGAAACCAGGTAACGCCACACAACACTACTTCCAATTCATACAACTCAGCAAATTGTTATGTAAAGTTTAATCTTGAGTTCCCAATGTTATCATAGTATCATTTTTTTACAAGAATGTTATCATAATATAATTGAGTAAAGTTCAGAATTCATATTAAGTTGGATTGAATTTGCTAAAATATCAAATAAGCCTATGAGGTCAGCTGACTCCACAGGATCAAAGTGTTAATGCTACTGAAAGCAGTGGCGGATCTACAGGGTGGCATACCCTGTCCAGCCAAGCGTACATATACCATATAGGGTATAGCGGTATACAGATGGGTAAAAAACAATCTTATCTAGTCTTCGCCGCCAGCTTACCTTGCGCAGTAACGCATCCATGGATGGCTGGATCACATGGGCAGACCTTCGACTTTCCAATTCTACTGCTCGTCGCTCGATCAAATCGAAGTCGCAATCATCCTATCCCATTTGCGATCTTGCCGTCTGTCCTCCACGACTCCGCACCAACGCAGAACGCACCATCCTGGACTCCCGGCGCCCCATCCGTATGTAGATCGACCACACCGTCCGGCGTTCAGCGTCCGCACATCGACTTGCCATCTCGCCGATGGGTCACAGGCTGCCTGACGCCGACCATGGTTGTGGCTGTGGCAAGAGGTTTGCACTTTGTAGAAATATAATCCTCTTGTTCTTTCTCGTGCATAGTATCGATCTTCTTTTTTCTTTTGCAATCCTTCTCATATGTGATCTCTCATCCCTAAATCATGCATGATCTCTCATCTCTAAAATCATGCTTGATTTCCTAATGCAGGATGTGACCATGCCTCATGCGAACAAGACTGCAGAACCGAGGATTCGCCCATGTCGTCCAGTTAGTATTTTTCTGTTTAATTGTTTGTTTAATCACAAGTGAGTCATCATTACTAGTATTTTTTCTTCCGTCTGTCTGTGTTCTTCATTTATTTCTTTATTATAAAGAGATTACATCGTCTATGAATTATGATTATATCATCACAAGAGTTTGTTACATTGTGCCATACTTATCTTGCTTCTTCTATGTATATTTTAAATTATTAGTTTGGTGTTTCAACTACATCTATTATAATTTGCACAAATTTTTATCTTAACCTTTCAATATAATAAACCTTTCATTTTATTTAGTATATATGATGCTGAACTACTGTGCAAATTTTACAATTTGTCATTAAATTGCTAAATGGATTTTACTAGATTATATATGAAAATTTTAGGATGGCATATCCTTCGATAAAATCCTAGATCTGCCACTGACTGAAAGGATCAAAAAAATCCAATTTAGTTTGCACATCCTTAATATTTATAACTCAGCCCAACAAGGTCTCTAAGTCCATGATTTGATACTAATTATTAAAGACGTCCCTTGCAGCTTGTTCGGTTAATCCCCTTCCCAATGGGGATTGGAGGGTATGGGGCATGGCATTTAGTCCCCTCCAGATTGGAGGTCCTTAAATCCCTTGCCCATACCCTCCAATCCACAGGTTTTTCAAAAGAACAAGCCCTTATACAGCTAAGATTACATTAAGCAAGAATCATACTGTTCCCACTGTCTCAATCTAACTTTGAAAAATAAATAGAGACGTTCAAGCATATGAATCAGCATGCCATCCGTGCTAGAGTCCCATTAATCATTTCATGGCATACAAATTAGCATATGTGCAAATTTATTCACTTTTGTGTCTTATCAGTTTCAATTCTATAAAAAAAGGTTTTGAAATAAAAAGATCATATTTCTTGCTGTTATCATTAGAGCATGTACATACCAAGATTTTAGCACTCCCGAAGTCGCAAACCTTGACTTGGTGGGAAAGAGGATCCACCTATCAAACAATAAGAAAAAGAGAAGGTCAGCATTTTCCAACTGAACATCATGAACAAGAAGTCAGGATCAGGAACAGGCACATGCTTAGCATAAAAAAAACACTAAACCAGCATACCAAAATATTCTGAGGCTTAATATCTCGGTGACAAACTCCTGGTACAGTATGAATATAAGCTAATCCCCGAAGTATCTGCACAAGATACGAAAAATGTAAATAATATTAGAAGTTTAAAACCCACTTTCTAGCACATGCACATTAAGATAGCATGCAATTCTAGCACTACCCACCTGGTACATGTACAATTTAACATATATAAGGGGCATCCTCTGCTTCATGTCTTTGTAGTGTTTTAGAACACGATAAAGTGACTCTGGAACAAACTCCATGACTAAGTTAAGGAAAAGTTCATCCCTACTTGTGGTAGAGAAGAAACAATGCTTCAGGGAAATGACATTGCAATGGTCAATCGACCGCATTATTTGTAACTCCCTATTCTTGTATCTTTTGTCCTGTAGAACCTTCTTAATTGCAACAGTTTCACCAGTCTCAATGCATTTTGCCTGAATTTATGCACACACCATCAATAAAATACGAGCCAAAGTGAGAAAAAAACTATGCCAAGTTGGAGAAAAGAAACTATCTAACCTGGAAGACAACCCCAAATGATCCAGTTCCAACAACTCGCTCGGCCATATAGCTAATGGTCTAAAGGGCACCAAATCAAAAGCTAAGTTAGAATGTTATTATCGTCATCATGTAATTCAGTAAGATGAAGCGAATTTCTTTCTCCAAAACCTACCCTTTTTGGTTCACCATTCTTTCCCCCAATCGTGGTCGATATTATATGACCTGTCACTGCATCACTTCCCCCCATAACAGTGGCGACATGCTGTCATGTAATGTAACACAAAGAACAGGCGAGACATAATCAAAATGGGGCAGCACCAAAGCAATAAAAAACGGACTTAGATGAACCAGGTGAGGTACTTTGGCATTAGCATTCGCTGCTTCACCAGGTTTGTGGGAGCAACATTAGCAAGCACCAGCACAGCAGGATAGCATTGCCCCTTAGTGAACAAACCAAAATACCACTACATGTATGCCTAGTTGATGCTACATTACCAAAAGTAGCATAAATATGCACTTAAAAACCACCGAGCATTTCCGATTCATTGAATCCATACACAAGCAACTAAGGTACAAGTTACAAACTTACAATCCAAAGAAACCCACTAGATCGCGACAGGTGAGCAGGCCATGGAAAACTTTGGACAGAAATGTAACAGCTAAGCCAACTGCCACTTCACATGAATCCCAACTAAAGTCAAACATCAAAACGGGTAACTGAAGCTGTAGCTACAAGACAACTTGTAGAACACATTCCGCCCGGCATTAGACACGATCCAAAGCAACACGAGAGTGGGAACGCTAGCATGGCGCTCACGCAAAGTTGCCCGGAGAGGAGACAGCATTGAGCAGCAGGTTCCCTCCCCGGAAAGCAAAGCTACCACAGCTAGCTCTAACGGTCTCCAATGAGACGCCATCTACACCCAAATCCGAAAAAAAAAAAAGAGGCACAAGCCATTGGAACGAAGCAGCAGCAGGCGAGCAGCCCAAATCCTGAGCAGCAGCAGCACACATATCGCAGATAGACCAGAACCAGGACTGCGTCCAGGGAGCCGAGAACGCCGCAGCTAGCAGATCCGCGGCGCATAGGCAGATCCACGCAGGAGGGAAGCAAGCAGTCATAGCCCCTAGACCGCGGAGGTTCCCCTCCCCGCCGAGGCGAGCGCGGAGATGAAGTGAAGCGTGCACTCACCTTCTCGTCGGCGGAGGCACGCGGCGGGTCGACCTCCATGGCGTCGGCGGTGGGGTGGGCCCCTCCACCGAGCGCGGTGGCCATGTGGGGCGGTCAAGCGGCGGCACTGGCAGGCTTCTCTCTCCTCGGTGATGGACTGATGTGTGATGTGGGAGGCTGCTGCTGCTAGCGTGACCGTGAGGAGGGGGCCATGGGTGGGCACTGTCCCTGTCAGCCCACTGCCCACCACCACGCCTCTTTTTTATTCCTTTCCTGGTCTTCTTCCTTCTGCCCGTTGGGAAAAGCAGAGCTCCCTGCTCTGCCTTTTTTGTTTTTTGGGTTTCGTTTTGTCCGAGCGGGGGCATTTGGGAAATGGAGCTCCCTGCTTAGGCCAGCGGCCCAGTAGGACTTACGAATGGGACTGCGCGGGCTCTACACAGCCCACGGAAGACTATGGGCCAAGGTGGGCCACTCAGATATTACTTTTTTCCCTCACGTTATCTCTCTCAACTTTTACGAAAGTCTGTATCTCCTTGAATTCTAAAACCGGATAAACCACCTCTCTGAACTTTTAAAACCATTCGTTTTACCTCCTCGACCAGTTATAAGCGATTTTCAAAGGCTGTTTTGTCTTTTTATTTATTTATGTTGGTTGAATCTTTGAAAAATCATAGTAAATCATAGAAAAATCATAAAATGAAAACTCTAATTTTGTTGAACTCCATATGTGTAGATCTACACAGTGAACATATAATATGGTATACTTTATTAAAAAATTTTGTTGTAGCTTTAAATCTATTCTTTTCTATAATTAATTCATAACTACAGTTTCTATGGTCTAATTGTGGTGAAATTTTTATGGTGGGCTAATTATTGTATGCTTGAACTATAGTAAAAATTTAATATTCATTGGATCTTGTATAACTTAGTTATAGATTTATTTAGGTGTATGCTTGTTAAAAAAGTATTTATAAATCTATAGCTAAGTTATTTATAACATGATTCTTAGTTCTAGCGTAGCGGAGCTTGGCCGAATCAAACGAAGCTAGGCAGCTAGCTAGGGTTGATTCAGTTTATTATACACACTAGGCGAGCTGCCCTCTGGTTTGTTGAGAAACTCTCAGTCACCGTGTCAAATTGATCCTTTCTAGCAACCGTATATTATTGCACGGCGCGTTCGCTGGTCTGGTAGCCGGCTGATCCTCCTCAGCGAATATTGTTCATCAACGAGCTGCTACAGTGTTTCTCTCTCACAAAATTAGCCAGTTTTAGTTAAATTTCAGACCAGCGAACGGGGCCATAAAGGCCATCTCAGAATCCTAGCTAATGATATTGAATTTACTTTATGTTTCGCCATAAAATGGTAAAAAGGATTTTGCCGTCTTCTCTGATTGGCCAAATGTTAAGATAAGTACTAAATTTATACTATTATAAAATAAACAGGTAACGTCACTCATGTAAGGGAACTGTAAGTTCACAGACACAGCTGCCATCGGTAAGGGCATAGGCATTATGAAAGTTCAATTCAAAATAGCATTAATATAGGGCCCCACAAAAAACAAGCATTTGCTGTTTCCATCCGCACAATGGCTGACTACACAAGATGAGCACTAAGGTGGAGCTCACTGGGAAAAAAAAAGACGATTCTCTTTGCTGACTTCCTGTGAGAGAGGAAGAGAGAAATTAGTTGTTTATTGGTGAGACATAAGAATTTTTTTTTTTTGCTATAGCCTACCTCCACAATGTACATGATGCATTATATGAGTGTATTTATGGCTTGAGGTTATATTTTTACTCTTGTTGTGGCCGCTCTAACGATTAAGTCACGTGGCACTCGTGGTTTAGTTTTAGAGCATGTTTGATTCAGTTCAGCTTCACTAGCGAAGCAACTATAGTTTTAGCTCTAAAAATAGCTCTACAAGGAAGTCCAATCTGTTTTGGTTAGCCATTTGGTAAAACTTCTAATAGCCAAAAAGCATAGAATGACTGTGATGGCCTTCTTTTTTTTTTTTTTCCCCAACCCTATCGAGTCCTCGTACGACACCATCTTCTTTTTCATTGAGCACCCACGCCACCACTGTCGTCGTCGCACTTGCAACCACACGCCACCCATGCTCCGCCCTCCGCCATCGCCAAGATGCCTCGATCGCCGCAGACGCTCTCCGTCAGGCTGCCCTTGCGTGTCGCGCTCCTTTTCCTTCTTTCTCACCAGCCCCTTCGTCCACGCCAGCTCCCTCCTCCGCTCTACAGCCCTTGGCCGCAGCCCGCTCCACCGCCCGTGGCCACAACAAGTGTCACCGCACCTAGCCGTGATCCATGCCCATGTCCACGCTCCGCCTGGCCAAGCCAAAAGGTTTCCAGGCCCACATTGTCAGCATGTTCGGTTGGCTGGTTCGTTTCGTGGCTGGTTCGTGAAGAAGTACTGCTGGCTGGTTTGTGTGAGAGAAAAATACTGTTCCGGCTGGAAATTTACGATCGTTTACGACAAACCACAGCCAAACGAACAGGCTGTGTGTCAGACGAAGCGGGGCGAGCTGCTTTTTTCAGCTTCATGCCATGCCAGTGCCTTGTGAAAGCATAAAAATAAAGGATCTCCACGTGAGAAGCAGTTTGGTTTTCTACAATTTCGGAAAAAGTGCTTCAAGCTACTCTAGTAGTTGCTTGAGAACTCCTACCAAATAGTCTCTTAAACCGGTGAAGGCTCCTTTTCAAGAAAGCTAGAAAGTAAAGCAGAATTTGGGTCGACGTGCGTGACAAACGTAATCGCCATCTGAAATGACAGACGAGACGATTAGGCCTACCTCAAGGCATATGCTACGATAAAAATGGCATGTTTGATTGAACTTGTTAACCGGTTTATCAGTTAGAATCTACATGTTTTTTCTTATAATAAAATAACTTCAGTCAACTTTAATACCAGCTCGAACAGACCCAATATTAATGCACTTGAAGAGCAGCTTAGTTTAATCAAGTCCGTACGTACATTTGGTATATGGATATACTAGTTGATTGATGCCTTGATGGGATTAGCATTGGCCTTTAACCATCCCCAGTACTGGTTGGTTGCCCCTATCTTTCATTCACGCACCCGCCCGGAACAGTTTCTTTATGCTGGTTTATTTGGCATCATGCATTGTCGCGAAATACAGCCATGCATGTGACTGGCCTTTCTTACGAGCTTATCCGTCGGCGTTGAAATTTGGCCTAACAGAGACAAATCACAGATGTCGTATTGAATCCAAGCCGTCGCTTTTAATTTGCTGGTTAAATTTATCATTTTTTTTCAAGAACAACTTCGTCGTTTTCTGGTTGAATTATCATGTCAGCTTCCGACCACTACTATAGAAACGATTTTTTTTAAGTAACGGGGCTTTTTTTTTGGCGGCTCCACCACCAACCGCCCTGCTAGGTGAGCTCAGGTCCCACGATTCCAATCGCCCCTATAAATCTAACAGTAGGGGCGGCTAGTAATACAAGCCGCCCCTACAAATAGGTAGATTTGTAGGAGCGGCTCACTCACTAGCCGTCTCTACTGTTCGATTTGTAGAGGCGGCTCAATCACCAGCCGCCCCTACAAATATCCGCTGTATAAATGGCTATAGCCCCATTCTTGCTCCTCGGGTCACTCACTCTTACCCGAGAAAAAAAGCTTGTGAGATTTTGGGCACCTCCCAAAAATTGCTCTACTAAGGGGGAAGATTTTGGTCTCAAATCTTTTGGTGGAGAGGTTGTAGAAGGTAAGAAAATGTTATTCCATATTTTTTTTGAAGTTTTAATGGTTGGTTAGTGAGTAATTAGAGTTTTATTTTCTCTCTCTTTTATGGTACTTGAGCTACTTATGAAGCAAATTAGATCCAAATTTTGAATGTACTATGGTAAATTAGGTAGGGAACAAGATCATACCCTTATTTGGTCCTTGTTTCTTGATTTTAGTGAACAATTAGTTAGTTTTATGGATGTTTCATGTGCATGTTAGATCTAGGGTTTGTTTTTTTTATTAATTTTGTTTTTATAAATTTATGTTTGATAAATTTGGACTAGGGTTTGCATAAAAGATATTGGGTAAAATATAATTGTTGCTAATTGTTGTTTTTAAAATTATTTATTATAATCAACAAATATGTATTTTTATTATTTATGAATAAATAGGCTACTAATTAATTTTCTCTACCATGGTGTGTTTGTATGCTTCATGTAATTATATTTGATTTATATTATATATATCTAAAGTATATACAATTATTCTCAAGTAATTATTAATTTGATTTATTTTTATATATATCTAAATAAGTAGTCCTTTTATGTTTGTTTTGTTGTTGTAAAAGATGGAGTACAAGAACTCTTTGATGTATGGTTCATTAAGGTTCAAGGCTGGTTTCCGTGAAGAGGTAGATAAATCTATTGAAGTCGTAAAGAAGCATGCAACGACATTGACAGAGAATAAGGATATAATTATTTGTCCCTATAAAGATTGCAAGAACCGTATGCGTATGGACAGATGTGACTATCATCAGATCACATTTGATTATGTTAGGATTTGTTGAGGACTACACAATGTGGATTCATCATGGTAAAACGGTTATTGTTAACGACGAGGATGAGGAGGAATATGACGACGAAACCCTAGAATCCCTGTCCCAATATTCAGTAGAGCTTGATGCACGAATGGATCCCGAGTTTGGCAATGAACAAGGTGGTGATGCTGGTGGTTGGGATGGCAACGATGAAGGTGGTGCCAATAGTGATGGCGGAGCACGTGTCGGGATGAAGATGATTTGGAGGACATGATTCGAGCCCTTGGAGCAGAGATTTTACTAAAGAGCCCAAAAGGTCTAGAAAATTTTGAAAGGGTGAAAAAGCATCGAAGGAAGCTGTGTATGGTGTTGAAAAGGGTTGTCCGACACACTGGACATTGCTACATTTTGTGCTTAAGTTACTCATCCTGAAGGCTAAGTATGGCTGGTCAGACTGTAGTTTCAATGATCTATTGCGTCTCCTGTCATGGGTGCTGCCACAACCAAACTCAGTTCCCGCCAACACATACCAAGCAAAGAAGGTCATAAGTCCATTGACAATGAGAGTTGAAAAAATCCATGCATGCCCCA